TTGCCTTAGACAACTAATGGTTTCTGTTATCGTCCACCATCTATTAGATCGCTAAAAACTGGTTTTGATGCTTTTTTTCTCCGTCTCTTCATTTCAGATTCTAAGTTTATGCATTTAAAAAAAAGTGGAAGAATAAAAAAAAAATATGCAAAAAAAATTTGACAAGTCAATTAGGAAGCAGCAGTAGCAGTAGCAGCAGCACAACGAACGAACACAGTTTCTGTTTTCGTTGTCGTCGGCGATCGGTAACGATAACATCTGCGGAACAGGAACTTTGTAGGCGCACAAAGAAGCAGAGGATTCAACTACCGTAACCGGCGACAGATTTGTTGCCCGGTTGATATTCGGCGCTTCTTCGATGTGCTTAACACCGATATAATCAGATAACGGATGACCAGACGACTGAGATGGTTGGGCACTGGGAAACCGTGATGGTTGTTGGACAGGATGCCGCTATCTAAGAAGCAGATACACTTGTAAACGGTTCCATATGGGGCTTCTGAAATTGTAGTTGTCTATATCGGTGTTTTGTCTATAATTAGAGGATTCAGTGTACCGGGATAAATTTTAGAGGCAAATAAAGAAGCAGCAAATTTCGATAATTTCTTTTTTTTTTTTTCGTTTTTCTTTGACATTACTGATAAATATTGTCAACGTACCGTACTGTGCGTATACTATAGAGTTATTTCTACCGTCTGTTTATTTGTTCACTTTTCTTGTCAGCCACCAATTTAACCGTCATGAGATGAATTTAGAAGCAAAAAGAAGAGGAAATGCTGGAGAAACAACTGCTATTTGACAGTATTTTCGTTTCCCCTAAAAAATAAATGAAAAGAAAAATCGGTAAGTTTCAAAAAACACAACACCGTTTGTTTGTTCCTTCATTTTTTTTTCCACCTTTTTCTTTTCCTTCAATTTATCGTTGTTACTTTTTTCTTCTCCTCTTTGATTACCTAATTAACCTGGCGAGAAAATTGTTGGAATCAAAGCTGCACAACTGCATAGATATTTATCTTTATTCATAAATACAAAAGCGTAAAAAAATTCTTTTTTTTTTTTTTTTTTTTTTTTTTT